AGAGATGGAAGGAAAAGAGAGAACGAGGATGAGAGACCAGAAAAGAGAAGTGAAAAGAGGGTATTCTTAAACCCTCACAAACCAAAAGAAAGGGAAAAAAACCTTATCCAAAGTAAAGATTTGACCCTGAAAAGGGATCCATGCCTGAGGCGCTGGGACGTCTGCGAGGGTCCTTGCTATTGACTTTATGTGTAAGGAACTCAGACGCCATGGTGATGGGCAGCAGGATAAAAGAGATCGTAGATCGGGGAAGAAACCACCCTCTCCAACCCATCACCAGCCCAAGTCCCCCTGGCATAATTCCATCTACCCCACTACTACCCCCAGGGCTGGGTGGTCCCATTGCCAGACCCCCAGGGCTAGGCTGATCACCGGCCCCAGGCTGGCCCCGGCTCCCGACCCCCAGCCAAGCCCCGGGGTAAGGTAACGACCCCGCTGATCCCCGCTCCCCCTGAGGTCCCAGGCGCACGTGGTTTTCCCGGAGCCACGTGCCGCGCTGCTCCGCTCCTTCACCAGCCCCCACCCCCCCCCCCGAACCCCACCGGAGCGCAGCCGCCTATTGGTTACATTGCCCCTTCTCCCCAGCGGGCGCGACCTCTCGCTGTAACGCGCGCTCCGATTGGTCGGCGGCAGCCCCGCGCGGATTGGTGTGCCTTCCGCGCCCGCAGCCCGGCGATTGGGCGGCATTCGGGCGGGCGGGCGGAGCTAACCGCGCCGCCTGCAGGGGTTGGTCCGGCGGGGCGAAGGGGGGCGGGACAAAGCATAAGCTGGAGGTTGGGGGGAGGGGCGGCGCTCTCACTCTTTCGCTTCAGTCCCGGGCGCAGTCGAGTCGAGTCGCTGCTCGCGGCGCTGCCTGTCGCACACGGACCCAGCCGCCCCGCACCGCCCCGCACCGCACCGCCCCGCGCGCCGGCCCCGCCGCCATCATGGTGAAGATCGCCAAGGTGAGGCCCGCGGAGGGGGGGCGCCCGGGCCCCCAGCCCGGGGAGCGGCGGGCCCGAGGCGGAGCCTTCCAGGCCCCATCCGTGAGAGGGGCGAGCGGCGGCCAGGCCCCCGTCGGGTGGCGGCGCCGGGGGTCGGTTTCTCGTCCCCCCGCCCCCACCCCGGGCTCCCGGAGGGGAGCGGGTTTCTAATCCCGACCCCGAAGCCAGCCGGTTTCGCGCGGCCTCTCCCAGCCCCCGAGGCCGGTGGCCGGCTCCGCCACGGGCCGCAGGACTCGGGGCGGTTTCTAGGCCTCTTTCCGGCCGTTCTGTGTGCGGGGGGAGGGGGGGGTTCTAGGCTCCCCCTCGGGGCTCGCGACGGAAGCGAGAGGGTCGGGGCGCGCGCGCGCGCGCGAGGAAAGGGGGCGGGGCCGGAGGCTCGCGCTGCCGGATGGGAAGGCCTCAGGCTGCGTGCGCCGCGTGGGGGCGGCGGCCACGTGGTCTCTGCGGAGCCGCAAGCGCGCGGCGCGGCCCTGCCTGGGTCCCACATGGTTCAGGGCCCTTTGTCGATCCCGCCCGCGGCGCGGGCGGGCGGGCGGGTAGGGAGGGGGCTCGGACTTCCCGCGGCCTGGCCGCGGCGCTGCCGGCTCCTGCAGTGCACGTGTGGGCTTGTCGAGCAGCGTGGCTGGGTGTGGGCGGAAGGGCTTTACAGGGGGCCCCCCAGCGTCCCATCGCTCTGCTTTTTGAAAGGTCTGCAGGTGAATTAACGTTACAGACGCTTCGGGAAGCGGAAAGTTTTTTCTCCTGTCGACGGAAGTTGGTCCCATAAAAGATCCCGCCTCGCTCCCCTTGTGTTTCGGGTTCATGAGCAGGCATTTTAGCGCATCTGAAAAACGTGTTGGTCGCTGCGGATTTCTAAATTTGATAGGAACGTATTGGCGGCATGCCCTTGTGATACTTCTGCGAGCACGCACAATATGGAAACAATTTTGCTAAAATGGCACTCGGCTTAAATGTTTTATGGCTTTGGTGTATTTTATAATCTTTTGTCGATAGGTTTGTAAATTGGAAGATGGAATGGGTGAACTTTAATGTATGTTCATATTTCACGTTTCTTCTTTCAGAATCCGAAGAATCAAGCCAAACAGAAAAAAGTGGCTCCTCCTCCCCCAAAGGAGGTAGAAGATAGTGAGGAGGAGGACTCCTCGGAGGAAGAGGACAGCAGTGAGGAAGAGGTGATCATTTTACATCTGGATTCTATTGTGCTCCATGTTACTTTGGGAATAAATTATTCGTTGGGAAAACCCAACCCAAAAGCCTTCAGTGAATGAAATAGGGAAATAAATACAATAAGTGATGAGAAAATACCATAAGTGATGAGACAATGAATTAGCATTAGCAAGTGGATATTTTGAGTGTAGCTAAATAACTTAAAGCTTTCAAATTTGGCTTTGTAAAATTTTGAGTCTGGTGGGGAAAGGCTGGCTTCTTGAATACTATACTAATTGTATTCTCTTTTCTATTTCTCCCCCATAAAGATAGTGGAGAATACTGCCATAGTTCTGTCAAAAAGTTCTGTCTATTCATACTCTGCTCTTACCAAGGGTTCTTAATGTTGGTTTCTTTTTATACTTGGTAACCCCACCACCTCCAGATGTTCTAGTTGTGGAGGCAGAGAGGGGCAAAAAACAAGCGTAGAGGTAACATAAGTTATGTAGCAGGGAGGCTTATATTGTATATGTAAATGAGGGACAGTCCTTTGGTTCCCCGTGAGCTGCCAACGTGGCTTTACAGTCTGGTCCTGCAGTCTTTCTAGGCACTCCAGCAGAGGGGCTAGTTGGATGAATGGTTGTGGTGGGTTTAATTTAATCTAATTTTGGAGTTGTGTACACTCGTTTGACTTGTCTGTTTCTCTAAGGTTGTTCCTCAGAAGAAAGTGGTAACACCAAAAGCAGCAGTTACACCTGGCAAAAAGGCTGCCACTCCAGCCAAGAAGGTAGTTGCCACTCCAGCCAAGAAGGTAGTTGCCACTCCAGCCAAGAAGGTAGTTGCCACTCCAGCCAAAGGAGCTAAAAATGGAAAAAATGCGAAGAAAAAAGATATGGAGGAGGAGGAGGACAACGACGACAACAGCGAGGAGGATGAAGATGACTCTGGCAAGTCAAAATTCACTTTTCTGTTAAATGCTTTGCCATCGTTGAACAAAATTACCTCAACCTAAATAGCTCCTATTTGTCCATATCACAAACCAGTGTGCAGTTCAGCACAACTGGCGGTTCTTAGTCAAATGAGACACAGGGTTTGTGTAGCAAAGGTGGGGGGTAGAGAGGACCGTATTAAGTTAAAGTAGCAGAGCTGTTTGGAGGAAGTTTGTATGGGCTCCCTGTCGTGCATGGTTCAAGCCAATGATTAATTGTTTATCACAGCTTTCTTTACCAGCATTTCAGAGAGTACATTTCTTGAGCAAACCTGAATTAACAGTATAAATCAGAGATGGGCAAACTTTTTGGCCCAAGGGCCACATCTGGGTGGGGAAATTGTAAGCAGGGCCATGAATGTAGGGCGGGGGAAGGGGGTTGGAGTGTGTGGGGGGGTGCAGTGTGTAGAAGGGGGCCCAGGGCATGGGGGTTGGGGTGCGGGGCCTGGCACCACTTATCTCGAGTGGCGGTGGGGCTAAGGCAGGCTCCCTGCCTGCCCTGGCCCCGTGCCACTCCCCGAAGTGGCCAGCAATAGTTTGTGGGCTGGTACCACCCCCAAAGCTCCCATTGGCTGCAGTTTCCCATTCCCAGCCAATGAGAGCTGCATGGAGTGGTGCCTTCAGGCAAGGGCAGTGCACGGAACGCGCACACACACCACACCACCCCGGCTTCTGGGATTGAATCTTGTGGGCTGGATTGAAAGCCCTGACGGCCCGAATCCGGCCCTCAGGCCATAGTTTGTCCTCCCCTGGTATAAATGCTGTTTATAGCATGCAGACTGGTGAGTGATAAACTCTTGTTACAGATGAATCTGAGGAGGAAGTAGCAATGCCTGTAACACCTGCAGTCAAAAAGCCCGTAGTGGCAAAACCTGTGGCAGTACCTGCAAAACAAGAATCTGACAATGACGACGACGATGAGGATGATGACGACGAGGAAGATGATGGTGTGTAGGCTACGCTGGTTATGGGAAGGCTTAGGTTATATAGTTTTGATCATTATAAAATGCACACATTTTTAGTTGGCTTGAACCCACAGAGGCTGACATGGCACTAATAATGTACTTAGCTCTTTGTATTATTGAAACTGGTTTGCTAGCCTATTTCACATATGGCAGACCTGATTTTATAAGGCCACTGACGCCTACAAATAAAACTAAGGAGTCTATTTGAGTTTAACAAGTTTTTCCTATTGCCGCTTTCTGTGGCGCTTGTTACTACCTACTGGACGCTACTAATGGGTAGCACTTTAGGATATGGGTAGCACTTTAGGACATGTCTACATGCCAATAAAACGTCCGCAGCTGGCTTGTGTCAGCTGACTCAGGCCAGCCACAGGTGTTTCATTGCAGTGTAGACATAGGCTAAGAGACCTCAGTCAGGTCCAGGATCAAGTTGTGTTAAGCACTGTAAAACAAACTCAGTCCCTGCCCCAAAGAGTTTGCAAACTGAAATGGACAAGACGAAAGAGTGAGACGCATGGCCCGTTTTACCAGAGGGGAAATGAGGGTGGAGATTCCTTCCTCAGTTGCACAGGAATTGAACCATTGAAATTGAATTGAACCCATGAAAGATAGTTTGCTTTGATGTTTCAGACTCTGAAGTTGAGGCAATGGACGTAACCCCAGCAAAAGGAAAGAAAGCTGCTCCAGTGAAAGCTGTTCCAATGAAAGCAAAGGCAGACTCTGAGGACGATGACGAAGATGAGGATGATGATGATGACGAAGATGAGGATGAGGACGACGACGAAGATGAGGACGACGACGATGAGGAAGGTGAGCTGAATGTTCTATGTTTGTGTAAATCCCTGCTGCGTAGTAATACACAGAACTCATCTTCAGCAGCAGTAGGCAAGAAGTATGTCCAACCCTGTCTTCCAAAGCTGGAACTGATGAACAAACTCTGAAATGATGTGATGAAAATCACAATGAAAGTTTCTCAAGATAGTCAAGTACTGATCCAGTGTGACGGAGGGTGGGGGTGTCACTGGATGCCTTACTTATTATTCTAAGATCCTTCTAATGTATCTTCCTGTACCACAGAGTCTGTGAAGGAAATTCCCGGAAAACGAAAGAAGGAAATGCCCAAGCAAAAAAGTGTCCCAGAAGCCAAGAAAAAGAAAACTGAAGGTATGTTAGTGTGATGCATCCTTTAATGTGTTCTAAGTGCAGCTAAAGTCAAGGCTCCCCTTACTGCAGTGCTCCAGAGAAAATGTTCAAAATTTTTTCATTTAATGTGGGAAGGTACTAGCTGGGGAACTTGTACTAAGGGGTTTGAATCTTTGGCTTTTATATGGTGCTGCCAGCACAAATGATGAATACTAGGGACTTAATACTGAAGTCTGATGTGACTTTGATATAAACTGATGTGCCGTAGTCCTTTAGAGTAAGATGCCTCCAATTTGATCATCCTTTAATTTGCCTAATTGAACTTCACTTATTCTTAAAGAAACTGCTTCAGCTTTCTCCCTGTTTATGGGAAACTTGAACGCCAGCAAGGACTATGAGGAACTGAAGACTGCCATCAAGGAGTTCTTTGGCAAAAAAGACCTTCCAGTTCTGGAAGTCAGAATTGGTGGTTCCAAGTAAGCTCTTCACTATAATTCTGCTGCCACTCTCTTTATACCAAGCTGTAAACTACTGGCACAGTTAGGAGGCGTAACTGGGACAAACAAAATGTTTAAGTGATCATTGAATAGTATGTGGAACTGTTAAACCAAGTTCAGCCGTATGCTATTATGAACAAGGTGGAGCATTTTCTCTCGGGACCGGTAGATGCTTCAAGCAGCATGCCCATACTAAAGAGGAAGGCTGCAGTCTTCATTTTATGCAATTTATGTATAGCCCTTGTTTGGGTAGCTGAGTCTACGCTATTATACTTTTCTAAAGAGCTATTTTTTGAGTGTCTTGGCAATTTGGTTTCATTTTTCTGAAAATATTTAGTACTGAACAACTAATTCTTACTAGTTCTGTGACTTGGGTAAGTGTGTCCATTTGGCAGATGTTCAAAGAGGTTAGGTGACTTTTCTGGGGAGGCACAGGAAATCTGTCCTGATTTGAATCAGGACTGTTTTAAAGAACTACACCAGCCCATCTTGTAACTGAGATGTAAATGGTCTTGATGCATTTGGATCTCTAAATTTGAGTTCCAATCTGAAAACTTGTTGTCTTAGTAAAGCAATCAACATGATAGGTTCCTTGTCGAGGGTCACAGCTCTTCTGACTATGTTAGTTGTGTAATGTTTGTTTTGATGGCTTCCACTGTAAAGCTGCTTCAATCATTTAACTCTTTTTGAAGGCAGCTCTTAGGGTAGGTGTACACTGCACTCTAAGGCTTTGTCTACACTGGACTTTCATTGGCAACACTTTTTTGTCATTCAGTGGTGTGGAAACACCCCCGCCCCCCATGACAAAAGTTTTGCCAACCAAAAGTACTGGTGCGAACAGCTACCGCCGCTCGTTGGAGGTGAGAGGAGGGGTTTTTTGGCGTCGGGAGAGCTCTCTCCTGCCGACAAAAAGCGGCTACCTTGTGTGCCTTTTAGCGGCACAGCTGTGTCACTAAAAGGTGCGTGGCGTAGACCTAACCTAAGTCCGGTCCTGATTCAGCTTTGAGCACAAGTCCCCTTTCCATCCACACACACACATCAGTCTGACTTGTATCAGCAAGCAAGCAGGACTTCGATCCTAGGGTGGGCCGCCACTGTGATTCTGGTCCAAGCCCTTGTCGTTTTGCAATGTGGATGCAGCTCAAGCTGCAGGCCCAAGTCAGGAGGTCTGTGCAGTGCAGGGTGGGTGCATTAGCATGGCTGTGACACCCGAGTCCAGCAATTGTGAGCTCAGGGTTACAGTGCAGTGTGGATGTTCAAGCGTGGGTTTGGAAACACCAAGTCCATAAGCCTGGGTTGCACAGACTATGGTTTACAATGCAGTGTAGACATAGCCTTATTGACTATACTTCCACAATGTGTTCTGACACTAACTCCAAAGTTCTGTGTATTAAAGTCTTTCTCCTTTCAGGCGGTTTGGATATGTAGATTTCTCCTCAGCTGAGGATCTGGATAAATCCCTTGAATTTAATGGGAAGAAATTCATGGGTTTGGAAATCAAACTGGAGAAAGCAAGGAGTAAAGAAATCATTAAAGAAACAAAGAAAGGTATGAAAACTATCTTCGTTCTTTATCTGCTAGTTTTCTGGGTAACACATCTTGTCATGTTGAGCAAGCCAGTGACTAAGTGTCTTCTACTGGCCTGTTCAGTTTGGTGATAGTGGGTAATACCTGCAGAAATGGTTAATGGTTTATCTTCATACTGTTCAAGAAAGAAATTGCACCTCTGATATAAGCACTTAGTAGTTAATCAGAAATCATTAAACTTACCTAACATAAAAAGTTTTGGTTGTATTAGTTTACCACTTCCTTATCAAAGCCTTGTTATATGGGTTGAGATTTTCAAAGAAGTCCGTCTCGGATATAGAGACGGAATTCAAGATGATCTGGATTGTGTTTTGGGGAATGTTCATATTGCCAGCAAACCAGTATGTGGTAAAGATATTTCTGCTTTTGGATGTAGAGCCCTTAATGTGTAAAATTACAATTGTTCCTGGCACAAATACAAAATAATCAACTTTACTTGTATTTTGGTGACATAATTGAATTACTTTTGGCTTTCCTGGTGCTGGCATTTTGTTCACTGTGGTACAGTGTACCAGAGAACCTTAATTTTTTATTATTTTTTTTGTCTTTTTGTAGAAAGAGATGCCAGAACACTTTTTGTTAAGAATCTGCCTTACCGTATAACTCAGGATGAATTGAGAGAAGTATTTGAAGATGCGCTAGAAATCAGGCTAGTGACTGGCAAGGATGGGAGCAGTAAAGGGTATGTACTTGTGATAGTTTAATTTTTCCCAGGCATGCGTTGCCTGTTTAACATAGACTGATGTCTTTTTGCTGTCTTCAATGGCTATTTAGAATATTGAAATTAAGTACTTGTCCTAAAAGCATTATTTGGGTTTTAGCTTTTTGTGCATGTTCAACACTCCCCAAAGAAACAGCTTGTTCATCTGCTGTCTTCACCATTCTAGGATTGCCTATGTAGAGTTTAAAACAGAAGCTGAGGCAGACAAGGCACTAGAGGAGAAGCAGGGCACTGAAATCGAGGGTCGTTCCATCATCTTAGACTACACAGGAGAGAAGAGCCATCTAGAGACACAGAAAGGTATTTATGCAGCACTATTATGTGCTAAAGGTACATGATAGGCTGTGCTGCTATCACAAGCAAATTATAGCAGTTCACAGGAATCCTTTGGGTAACACGGAGGGAATCTTGTGTATTTCTTCTCCCTCTTTTCTTTCTACTTTCAATCCCATGCACTTCGTGCCATTTTACATAGTTCTAATTTGCATATTAGTGGGTAAGAGGTCTCAGACTTGAGTCAGCCTGCCCCGTCAGGCTTGACCTTGTGAAACAAGTACCTTCATTCTCTAGACCTTGACCTAGAGAGAGAGTGTTGTACATTGGTGAAATTCTTGGATTTGGGGATTTGTTTTGAAGGCCGTCAATCCAGCACCTTGCACAAAGGACACTTAAACCATTCTTAAACTCCAAGAAACTCCAGAAGGATTTAAGTTGTACAGAGATTCTCCAGTTCTGAACAATCTAGGTAGTCCAGATACCAATTACCCTGACATACAATACACTAGATGCCAATTAAGTGTATGAAGGTTATTAGCTTGTGCTTGGGAGTCGTCCTTGTGCATGGTCCCTGAGGCAGATACCGTAGTGGAGCAAAGAATACCCCATTCCCTCTTGCTCCTAAAAGCACTGTTGGTTTAGTTTGGAAAAGTCTGCCTGTAAGTGTGCAGTTCTAAGTTGTCTTTCTCTTTTCCTGATAGGTGGAGAGTCAAAGACCCTAATTGTGAACAACCTCTCATACAATGCAACAGAAGAATCTCTTCAAGAATTGTTTGAAAAAGCCTCTGCTATCAGGATGCCACAAAATAACCTGGGCAAGCCTAAAGGGTGTGTAAGAGTGGACTCCTCTCCCCCCACCCCCACCCCAAAAAAAAAAACTAACAAAACCTAAGTGATCCAGCCCCGTAGTAAAGATTTGAATATTGGCAGCATGACTGGTTCCATGCTATCTAGGATCCATATGGGAACAAGTCTCCAGTCTGATCAGAATTTTTCTCTCCACCTAGATATGCGTTCATCGAATTTTCCACATTTGAAGATGCTAAGGAAGCTTTGAATTCCTGTAACAACACAGAAATTGAAGGCAGAACAATCAGACTGGAATTCAGCACACCAGCCGGACAGAAAGGTGGTGGTAACTCCAGAGGAGGATTTAGTCGTAAGTGACCTGTGCTTTATCCTGACCTACAGAGGTTTTGAGACTTTGATGCAGCTATAATTCATGCACACTTAATTCTGTTCCCCAAAAATCATTTGATGTGGACAAATGATATAAAAAGACCTGCTTCTCAGATGCTAGGAACAACAGCAAGAGTTAAGTTTAAGAGGTGGATATGATGACTGAGATACTGATGAAATAATCTGAAAATTCCTCTGGATAGTCCGGTACTGATCAAGCTGTGTTAATTGTAGTTATGATTATACCTTCATGACTAAACTTGTTTTTTGTGAGCATTTCTGTTGTAAATGCTTCAAGTCTAACAGGACAGTTTTTGTTTTTCCCCCAGGTCAGAAACGAGGGTGGGGGAATTTCTTGGCATAAGCTGCTAATTTTTTTTCCCCTCTTTTAAAATCTCAAAAGAAAAACACTTTAGCTGTTTCTGTGTCAGTCACTTAAATGTTTTTGGCCTTTCTATTTTTGCAGTTGTGGCCCAGAAAAGCAACCTTATGTTGATGTAGATAATGGCTTTTATCTGACATCTCAGTTAGTCAACAGTGTTCAATTGGCTAACTTCTCTTTTTTCTAATGTAAAAGGGCTTGATGTATGGTGGCTGGGAACCTGGCTCACATCTATCTTAAGGCAGAAACTTTACAAAAGTGGTTGATCTGAAAATGGATTCTCTTTGTTTAGAACAAACCAAAACGCTGTTTGTCAAAGGCCTTTCTGAGGACACCACAGAGGAGACATTGAGGGATTCGTTTGAGGGCTCTGTCAATGCCAGAATAGTCATGGACCGAGATACTGGCTCATCCAAAGGGTATGTTAAATTCTAATCTGGAGATGGTATAATTCACTTCCTATTGGAAGAGGTCTAGATTAATCGATTGAAATCCTAACTGACCTTGGATTGGTATTAATAACGTTGTCAACTAGTTGCTAAGAGGAAACAGGCTTGCAATCTTGAATATCCTGTGAACAGTAAAGGTGTAACATCCTCCCTTCTCAATGAGCTCCTTCCTGCCGTAAAATCAGTGGCAGCCTATGGATTCGCACGAGAAGAAAATTAAGTGCTCAGTGCTGGCATATTCACCTTCTGGCTTTAGATGGGTGATTAGTCAAGGCTGTGGGACACTGTGAATGTGTTCTTGTATTACAAGCTGTGCATGGTCCTGTAGCACTCCTGACAGGATGGTCATGAAAAATGGTGGTGTAGATCTTCTGCTCTGACTACCAGTGGGTCAATATTAATAGTGCAAACAGATCCTTCATGATAAGGTGCTCCCTCCCCACCCAGTAGCTCATACCAGTTTATTAAATCGAGCCTCCTTTGGGATATTTAAAGGTCACAGCTTTGATCGCTGGTCCAACATCAGACGCCCACTAATTTGGACTGAAAGCGTTGTGAAGAAGCAACATAGTCTAGGGTTCAGTATGGAACTTGCCTCCTTTACACTGAGCATTCTTGCTGCAAGGAGCAGGTTACACGGATAATGCAAAGACTAAATATAGGATGGTGGGAAGCCAAATACAGTGGAACTGCGCACAGACAAACCTGCGTGTTTTTTTTTTAAATGCATACATTAGTGTAGCTCTTCAGTATGCATGGTATTCTAGTGAAGGGTGGAGCTGTGTTGCGTGGCTCACTTCAGTGGAAGGTGAACTCTTGTCTCTTCACTACCTTGCATAGATTTGGGTTTGTGGACTTCAGCTGCCCAGAAGATGCCAAAGCAGCTAAAGAAGCTATGGAGGATGGAGAGATTGATGGAAACAAAGTGACCCTTGACTATGCCAAGCCCAAGGGTGATGGTCAGCGTGGCGGTGGATTTGGCGGTGGATTTGGCGGTGGATTTGGCGGTGGATTTGGCGGACGCGGAGGAAGAGGAGGACGGGGTGGCAGAGGTGGATTCGGTGGACGGGGTGGCGGCAGAGGATTTGGAGGTACGAAGAAAATATAACCAAAGCTTAGCATGTTATTGACTTCAGGCAACATTTTAGATAAATCGAAGACTGACTAATCCCAGGCTAGGCGCATGCTTTCAGATTCTCTGAGGTGGCACATTGGAATACTAACATGTGCATTCCCTTCCATGTACTGTCATCTTCCAAGCACATACTGAGGGGGAATACTAACTTCTGAGTCAGGCTAAATGCAGCTTGGTTCCTAATCTCTCCAATTTCTTTCCAGGTAGAGGAGGTGGCTTCCGGGGAGGCAGAGGAGGAGGAGGAGAACACAAGCCACAAGGGAAGAAGATAAAATTTGATGACTAAGCGTTCCCTTTTCCTTCCTTCTCCTGCTATCTGAAAGGACTCTGGGGTTTTTATTCTGTCACCTTGTTTTGACACGGAGCCTTCTGAGGACATTCCAAGATGCAAAGCAGTACTGTGAGCCACTTGGGAAAAGTAACTATCATTTCAAAGAATGGCAGCTTGACTGCCCGGCTATTCAAGTGAACTTTTTAAAGAAATGAGTGCTAGATGTGGGAGTTTCCCCCTGTCTGTGAGTTGTCTTGAATTTATAACGTTTTACCCCATGTACAAAAATATTTTTTTCCCTATAAATTTCCGTAGGTTTTTTGCTGTAAAAATGCAGACCGTTTTATCATTTTTTGTGCTTCGGCACCCTGTCTCAGACAGATTAAAGGGCCTGAACTGGTGCATGTCTTCCTGCCATTCTTCAAGTGCTGATGAGTTAGCAATCTGGGACAGGAAAGCAAGCAAGCTGTAGATTAGAGCCCTGCTGCGGAACTGGGATCTTGCAGGACCTGCTTTTGTCATAACAGGAGTGGGTGAGAGCAGGATTAAAAAATAGTCCCATGCAGGGCTCTACTCTGGATGAACCTTTGAACCTGTTTATATGTAGCGGTACTAGTTTGTCTAAGATCTCTGCTTGCCACCTCTTGTTGCTCAAAGAGTGCACACTCTAACTCACCGTAGAATGGCTGTTCCAAATCCCATTCCTGTGCTCGCAAGCCTCCAATATTGCAAGTTGCCATTTGAAAGGCGTGTAGCAGCCCAGTATATAGGATCACTGTGACGGTAGGATGGACAAGTCTGAGATTTAAAAACTGCTGCCTGTGAAAGCAGGTGGAGGGAAATACAATATTATGGCTTGGGCAAATCATTTAAAAAAAAAAAAAGGCACCCTGCATTCCTAAGGGTGGTGTTAAACGCCCAGCTCACTTGCTGTAGCTCTGTGCCCCATCTGTTATGTTCAGAGTTACAGAATCTAAACTCATAAATGAAAGTTTCTAGCTGCCTTGGTTGGGAATAAAACCTAAATATACACTGTTGGAACTTTGTCTTCCCAAAACATTTAACCAGCTCCATTGCTTTAGCTCTAACAACTGATGATGTCTTAAATGCATATCTGATTCATTGCTTCCTGATGTATATGGGGAATTGAGCATGTGGGGCTGGGAATTAGGACTTCTTCCCTGGAGGGAAATGTGGAGGAAAGGAAGAGAGGAAACCTCTCCCTGCTCCTATCACTGAAGTAATGGAGATTAAACTAAACATTTCACTAAATAAAACTTGGCTAGCTAGACAGAGCACATCAGTTACACAAATCAGACTGTTCCAAGTTTAGCTGTCCTGTAGTAATTTAAGCTGTCTAATGGAATATATCAAAACAGACAAGTCGTGGAGAATTTTAGAGGTTTCCTGAAAGACGATATTCTCTAATGTAACAAAACTCTAAAAAGTGTGAGCCTGCCACTTCTGTCAGTAAATCTAATTCTTGCCGTAGAAGCTTATTGGAACATCTGTCATGGATCTCTTACCTTCTCTTATGCTGTGCATAACAAGTCATCTTTTACATTCCTTTGAATGCCAAGCTGATAAAGCTGACACTAGACTGGTGAAATGACGTGTGCAGAGGCCCCATTGTATTAGGCACAGGATGGAGTAAAAGTATACCTATTCCGAAGTGTTTAACATCTGCATCGATAAAGACAGGCTGGGAGAAGGAAATCTCCATCTAGGGCTGGAGGCCTAGTGCGTAAGCATTTTGCCCAACGTAACAGGAAGTCTGACACAAATTTCCATGTGAACACCAAAAGGCATCCTATTTCAGTGGTGTGAGCACCTGAGTGTTGGAATCTGATTTTCCTCCTGTCAACTGTAATTACACCTGTGTTTCCCATGTAAGCTGGGATATCACTTAGTCTGTGTGGATTTTCTCTGCTAAAAAACTAGCATTTGCCTCAGTAATGTCAGATTACTTGGTACAGTGCCGATTTAAAAAAAAAAAAATGTATTTCCACACTTTTGTCTTGAAAGGCGTGCAAGTACCCGTACTTAACTCTCCCACAAACGATAACTAGATGTTACACGTGTATTTTAAGAGAACAATGGAGGCTGTCGTCGTAGCATAGATTCTGTGCCCTATAAGTTGGGTAGAACACCACATACCACAAATTGTATGATGATCTGCTGTATTCTGCACAAGCCAAGGTTTTAAAAAGTGGCTTCTATGTGTTTGATTGGGGACCTCCAATTCTGTGCAGTACAGCGCCTCTGAAACCCGCAGCAAGGCATGGTTATTCTGGGACAGCTTGCAATGCCTAGATGTTCTGTTTACTGGAAAGCTCTTTGTGAGGCTCATCACTAGTATCTGTGTGGCAGTTAGTGCACTTATTCCTAGGCATGCTAGTGTTAATTGTTTACAAGGGGGAAACTGAGGCACAGACACACCCTGATGAGAAGCAGGTCCTTTGTCACTACTCCAGATGGAAGACTTAGAGGAGGAGCCAGGAGCAAAATCCCCATGAACTACAGTGTTGATGTCTTAACTGCTGTTTAATAGAGGAGGCTGTTTAAGTATTAAAATGAATTGTATAACATGCTGTTGTAAAAATATTCAACTAAACTAGGTAAAGGCTTTCTTGATGTGTGAAATCCTCAGTGTGCTGGCCTAGAATGGGTTCCTTGCTACACCTGTAAGTACCCCAGAATGCTTCCTTTCTAAAGCCTCAGAGCAGCAATTCCCACTACAATTGCATCTTCGGATGTGGCTCTGAATGAGGGTGATGTGGTGTAGGGTGAAGTACGGGTCTTGCAAGCAGTTTGGAGGTCCTTCCTGTCTTTGGCTGAGTGTGTATGGCACAAAGACCTTGGAGTAACAGGTGAGAACTTGCTATGCTGTGGTGATCCAGGAGCTTGCAGGCTAGCCATATAAAAGGGCAGTGCATTTTTAGGGGCAGGTCTACGCTACACATTGGTATAACTATGTTGCTC